CCAAAGACCAGTTTCGCCCTTAAAAGCTAGATAGGGCCTTTTAACTGTGGCCTAAGGCTACCACACATGACTATAGCAGATATTCAACTTGTTTAAAAGCTGTAGTTCCTAAACAAGTGACAGAACCACACAGCTCAGAGAGGAAACATGGAACCCAAGGAGAGAACAGTCCACTAGGCTTTATTATTCAACAATTAGAAAGAAAGTGACTGGGCAAAAATGGCCTCCATGAGAGCTTCAAGTCTAGAACCCCTGCTGACCCATCAAAACTCAAAGACCCGTCTCACATTTCCAAAAACACCTGGTAGTTACAACCATCTTGTGTGGTTTGTTGTGTATATATATTTATATAAAACTGTATCTGGAGCATATAACAAAAGTAATTTCCCTCTGGGATTATTAAAGTATTTCTGACTCTGATTCTGCAGACTTCTGGGAGAATATTCCTGTTACTGAAGAGTTAAAAGTGGACTGTTTAGGATGGTGTGCATGGAAATCCCACAGAGTTTAAGAAGTCTAATTGTTTGGTTCATCCTGGTGGAAACATTTAGTCTCTTTGATAAGTTAGAGATAAACTCAGCCTTATAAGTAACACCTTAAGCATAGAGGACCAGTTAATGGTGTCAATCAAAAACAGTTACTCACATGCAAACAGGGATAAAAGGCCTGATGTTCGATCCTGTGTAGTTTTGATGACACTTTGTTTCTAGAGCAGTGAGGTATGCTTTAAATAACTGCATTTCTCTTCACTAATTAGCTTTACCCCTTTTATCAAACCAGTTTTCCGCTTTCACACTTTCCTGCAAGGGACATCTGGCCTGCAGATGAGATGCTGTTTGCCCGATGCCAGTTTGATAAAGTTAAACTTGTCAGCAGGGAATGAAAAAGATCTAAAGGAGCAAACTGCTTCCCACCAGCCTTAGCATTTAAACAAGATCTGTAACAAATAAATAAATCACATTAAAAAGTGATTTTTGTTCCACTTATTCTGTTGTAAAGAAAGCTAATCATGTGACCCTAAAAGCCCTTCAGAAGTTTTCTGGTTAAATTGAGGTAATCATTTATTTCATCAAACACACGTGAGATTATATGGGGAATTATAAAGTTCTGAGAGAACATATGCAGCTATATTAAATCAAATCAACTAAATGTTTAATTGATAGATTTCTATCAGACGTATTTATATATAAATCTATTGGTTTCTGTAAAGTTAGATTAATGTTGAATACTGCTCAGTCTTCACTGTGACAGCCCTCTGATGGATCTTAAGTTACATCACGGCTCGATTACTGAGTAAACTGTAGTGACTGATCTAGGTACATTACTTGTGTCTCTTATTTAGCTGTTCTGCATCACATTGCATCACCACAGCAGTCCTTTCTGCCAGGAAATGATCACTGATGACTGTAGATCATAAGTAAACTGAGGACAAAGCAGATCTACTTCCTGTGCTGCAGCTGGATTCTCACTCTAATACTACGAGGATTATACTGCAGCTGCTTGCTGCCTGAGTTCTGGACATGTTGGCTCAACTTGGGTGACTGTAGTGATATGATATAAAATGAGAAGATGAGGGATATTGGAGGGATGGAGGGCTTTGTCAGCATGCCGGCTCTTTCTAAAAAAAAAAATATATATATATATATATATATATATATATGCACCTGCAGCGATGATGCATCAGAGCAGCTACATCACCACATTCCCTAAAGATGAGCTGCTCTTAATCTACTAGAGCAACAAGAAGGTTATGCAATAGAGCATCTTAAATCAGGGCATGTCACCATTAAACTGAGGGAAAAAAAACAGTGAGCACCTGGATGCTATCTGCACTGACAAAGATCAATCCTGGTAAATTATAAGAGAGGTTTCTGTATCTTCACTGCTCCATGGTTCTCTAAAGACCCAAACCTTAGAAAAGGTTCTGTAAATTTACAGAACATCTGATAGATCTCAGTTCAATCTGATTTCCTCAGCTTCATTAGATCCATCAGCTTATTTCAGGGTCAGGATGTGGCTGTGAAACTCATGCAATCCCTGATCGGTTCGACTAACAAATCAAATTATGTGAAAATGATGTCCCTTGATTATTTTGATGATGTCTGTATTTATAGGGAGGGGGAATGATAAGGAAGTGAAAGAAAAAGAAAGAAACAGAAATGGATACTTTAATGCATTGTGTGATTTTTTTGAGCTGGGTTTGACATGAGAACAGAAACAATGTGGTTTTGTTTCTTTAACACTTCCTTCAGTGATCACTGGTCTCTTTATTCACACAAGTACAACTTCCTCTGCTTCCAGGCTAAGTGCTGTGTATTGTTTTAAGACTGCTCTGTGTGTGTTTGTGCTAAGTCTGTTGCAAATGCAAGCAGCCAGGCAGCATTGATACGACGCTGAGAGCAGGGATAAAGCCAGCTTTGTGTCCAACTCAGGATCTCGGGCGCGGAGCGGCTAGAGTGGCACGCTGCCATGTCACAGGTTCACTGCGGTCATTCACACACAAACACACCAGGGGAACAGACCTGGGAATATAAGCGCCCAGCAGGAGAGTTTAGGTTGAGGTGTAATCGAAGCGATGGATCAGAACAAACTATGTAAGAAAGGTTATTCTGATGAGGTTCCTCATAGGTTTGCCCTATTAAGAACAAACTGTAATTAAAGAATAAAGGGATCATTCAAAGGTTTTCCTTTGGGTTTCTTTGGAGAGGTTATGAGCTGTCAGTATCTTCTTTGCTCTGATCTGAAACAAAGAGGTTATGAGCATGCAGGTGAGCTGATGGACTGAGGATGTTCGGTGTTTTGTCTTTTTTTTGTTCTGCACAGAAAAAAAAACATGAGAATTTGAGGGGAGGAAAGGAACCCTGGTAAAGATGGACAGAAATCCTGGAAATGAATCAGCGCGATGCAGACTCTGTGACTCATCTCTTTCCTGTGTTTCTCCACCAGTGAGCTTTAGAGGGTTTGGTCTGCATTATCAAATCTACATTTGTAGTGAGGTTTTAAATCTTCATTTCTGTTCCAACAAGTTTTACTTCTATGGTTCAACAGAGTGACCTTTAGAGAGGGACCAGACTTTAACATAATGCTCCAGATGGTTGAAAACGTCAAAAAAAAAAAAAGAAAGTAATTTAATGTTATGCCTTTCAGGTGTTTATAGACATTTTGGGAACAATTGTTAAGAGGATTAAACTCCGGTTAAAGATGCCCTGGATCATGGCCTGCTTGCTGCAGCCCTTTCATTAAGGTCCAACTCTCCAAAACACAGAACTGATAGACGTGAGGCACCATGCTACAAAAGCACGCAGTATGCTTTGCTCACCACCAAGAACCCTAAGCTAATGGCTGCTTATTTAACTTTCTATATAACAATGCTTTCCTGTATAAACGTTACTTTTGTTCTGGATAATCTCCAAACTCTGACAGATAAACCTTCATATAGCTGGTAATGGATCCTTCATCCTGGACAGGGCAAACCCGAGCGGAACAAAGCCGTTCTCATCTGGTTCCTCCTCATGTAACAAGATATGCGGGTCGTCTATCCATCCATGAGGGTGCAGGTCGTCACTTCATCGTCATTTTGAATGTTTCTGCTGCAGGGTCATAAGAAAGGCCTTGTTCTGATGGAGCTTCCTGTGTGGATTCCAGAAATACTGAGAGCGGACTAAAAACACACCTGCAGTTTGGGTCTCCAACCTTCACTGGTGTAATGATGAGGTGGGAGATGGTTTCATTCAAACACTGACAGAAAAGCTCCTGCAGTAGCAAGATTTATTCTAAAACTTTGGTGGTGATGATCATAGGTCTTCTTTACTGCCTCCACAAACCCGGTCACCCGCTTCTCTGGACCAACCCGTGTTTAAGGTTCCTCTGATCCTCGCCCAGTGGTTCTGTGGTGCAGCTGAACCTGCTGCCAACGTGTTGAAACTTGCATTAGAAGCAGCTGAAAGACTGGCACGCACAATCAGGCGGAGCGATCCAGTTTCTTTCCTCATGGGAGGAGTCAGGAGGGGAGATAAGGACACAGAACTCTGTGAACCCGTTCTCCTGACTCCATACGGACTTATCTAAACAACTTTAATTAATAAAAAAAAAACAGGAACTCTTGGATAAAGCTGTTTTTTTCCCTCACAGGAAACAAAACAGTTGAAGGGTTGGGTTCGGCCCATTGTTCACACTCCATTAAACCATCCTAAAGAGGTTGACATACAATATTTATTTAGGTTCACAAAAATGATAAGTTATTTATCAGGTAGTCCACAAATATTGTGGGAATGGTCTCATACAGTCATACAAGGGGGGGAAAACATAGATGAGAAACCATTAGGAACAGGCCCACCCACAAACTCTCTGATTGAACCAAATAAAGAACCAAGCTTTGGGAAAATGGCTGCTTTCAAACATTAGCTTAGTCTAAATTAACAAACACAACGTTGGTTATTCCTCATCCACATGTCCAGGATTTATGTTCCTTCTATAAAAAAACAAAACAAAAAAAAAAAACGTAAAAGAGAAATGACTCTAAGCTATTCAAAATGTCTTTTTAAAGTCTGTGATTAAAAATCAAAACTGAAGGGGGCTCCAACCTGTTTCAAAATATTGCAATTTTACGAGGGTTATCCCCAAACTGTCCGTCGGCAGCGTCAGCAGACCAACAACGTCGTATCCAGATAGTCGATGGTGTAGGACCTCCTCCACAGCGTGGCATCTGAGAGAGGGGTCGTCATAAATGCTGTATCCCTGAAAGTAAGTCTGTAGTGTCCCCGGACGCACCACTGTGGGCGTCCGTCATCCGTCGTCCTCCCTAAAGGTGAATTTTGGTTTGATTTAGACATTTTTTTCTCTTTAAACAGCAAAAGAATCTGCTGCTGCTCTATTAATGTTGGGAATAACCCCTCCCCCCCACCCTCCAACAGAAACACGCCTCGAACCTCACGTACGCTTCCTACAAAAGATGTTACACGTTGTGAACACGTCATGCAAAAGTGGCATTTCAGTTTTTAAAAAAAATGGAGTAGTCTCATTTTTTTATCTCTAGTCATTTTAGCTGCGACTGATTCACTTTTACAAAACAAAGATCAACCCAAATCTCCGCCCGCTTTCAAAGCCTACTTCCTCAACCTTTTCGACAAACAAAAAACAAACAATATTATATGAAACAATGATTTCTAGCAGTAATCTCCAGAAAGCTCCTCCTGTAGTCCAGGTTTGAAACGGTGTCAGGAGAAGCTGCTGCAGTGAGGATCAGTTAGAAGAAACCAGAAGCAGCTGTCGCCTTTAAGAAAAAAATTAAAATCACGAAAACAGATCCGGCGTCGGCAACAGCTGGTTTAAGAAGAATCCCTGATTGGCTGAAAGAAGTCAGGTGACCACCAGGCGAGGTAAGAAGAGGCCCCACCATGTGACGATGGGCTTGACGGTTGTGGAGGCGTTTTTTTTTTCCTCTAAACCCAAAATTAGGAAGAGTGTGTTTACATTAAAATATAGCGCATTTATCCGTGAGTTCCATCTGATTACAAACCGCTCCCACGTGTCCTGCTCAAAAAGTCGGTGATGAAATCTGAATCAATCTTATTGAAAAAAAAAAAACTAACAGCGTCGCTCTTCTTCTCCTCATGCAGCACACAGACGGTCGCAGAAACACAGAACACCAGTGGGTAGAAAAAATAGAAAGAAAAAAATTCACTGGCTGAAAAACAGAAAAAAAAACCTCAAGTTTGCTGCCTTGAAAGTCCTTGAATGTCCTTGAACATCGTATAGAATCCTTGGGCATGACGTTACTGATTTTTTTATTTGTTTTTTGTTTTTTTTTACTTCAATATTTCGATTCGCTTTTAGGAAAACTAACAAAGGTTTGCTCTCTTATTACTATGCGTGTGCGCATCTTTTTCCTTTATTTCTGTGTTGACGTTTGCATTGGTTTTTGTCTTCTTTATTGTCCAAAATCAGTTTTTTTCTTGGTTTGCGTAGATGTTTTTTTTCCACACTTCTTCCCATCTGAACCCATTTCTATCCTTTATTGCCTCCCACCCCAAAACCCCTTTCTCACCCCCCCTACAATAAAGAAGGTAAGAGGGGTGGGGGCTTTTGTTTCAGTCCAGTGCGGCCCTTCATCTCTCCGCCTCCATCGCTACACTAGCCTTCTGCTCGGCGCCCGCATGTGGGTTGACACCCATGGGCCAGGGGGGGCAGGGCTGCGTGGGGGGCTGCCCCTGAGTCCAGAGTCCCTGCTGAGGTTGCGGCACGTTAGGTACATTTGGTGAGAATCCCCAGCCGCCCGCCTGTGAGGGAGGAGGCGAGGTGGCCATGGAGGCGTTCATTGGGCTGCCGGCGCTGCTGTTGAAGCTTTCGGAGGCTTTCAGCCGGGAGAACATGGTCAACGCGTCGGGGAAGTTGGGGGGCGTCGCTGGTGTGTTGGCTGGGGTGCACATCTGAGGAAGAGGAGAGAAAACCAGATGTTACTTTTTTGAGTTTCACAGACCCAAAGAGAAATGGGATAGGTTCAACCTCGTCCCTTCCCAACCTGTTGCTGAACCTTGTTAGGAAAGCTGGAAAAATGTAAAGTAAGCCCAACTGTCCAATAAAAGATGTCATCAACATTCAAAGACAGGATTATTTTTAAAAAGGATGACCCGACACAACTTTTCCATTTCCGATATGATACCGATATTGATCCGATACGATTTTAGAGTGAATCAGACCGGCTTCTATTACTTATTTTCTACCAAAACAGAGGGGGAAAAAAGTATGAAAACAACTGAACTACATAAAATTAACCAATGATTTACAGAAAGTAAGCTAATCTATATAAACAGAAGGAAAATAAAGTTGTCTTCATCATAAAGTCAACAGAATCCTGCTAATAATTTTAGAACAGAGAATCTGAGCTTTAAGATTATTTCTGTTTTGATATTTATAGAAACTAAACCCTAAAAAAGGGCTTTTAAGCAAATCCAAACCTTAAACCTAATTAATGTGCAGCTATAATTAGAACAGGGGAAAAAATGACCCTCATTTTTTTGCACAACAGCCTGATCCTCCTTAAAAGGAGGCATTCGGTGTTGCTGGACTGAAGGGAAGCTGAGGGGAATCCCAGCCCCACACTAAAGAGGGTCCTGATTATGAAACACCATTTATATGCACTTCCTGTTTCAGATACAGAAAAAAAACTTCAAGTTGATTTAGCAGAGTAGATGAATGTGGTCAAACTATAACCTTAGATTGCCAAAATGAAAGCTAAAGCATACATGATTATTAATATTAAACTTCTTTACATTGCTGCTTGTCTAGAGCTGCTCTTCTGCAGCACACAGAGCTAAAAACAATACCAGACCTGTGACCTTAAAGCCAGCAGGCTCTGTAAACTCGTTGCTCAGGAACGGTAAATCATCATCATCATAACCAACTCTGATCCTTGACCCGCTTCCTGTACAGGAAACAACAAGCTGCTTTATCCCAAAGAGAAGAAGAGACAGCGCCACCTTCATGGAGGACGAAGAGGACAAGGCAGGTGTTAATGTGATGAAAAACATAAAATATTTTCTGAGTGACGCGTGATGAAAACAGCAGGGCCTTTAGGATTATTTGGAATCAAGCCTCCATACATTTAACTGTAGAAAATGTGTTAATTTGCAGCACTCTCAGGTGATTTCTGTGGAAAACTGGCTTCACTGCTTTACTAAGAGGTATCAGAGTAAAGGGGCTGCAGACAAATGTATGCAAAAGCTGCTTCCTTCTGCTTCTCCATCAGCACCACCCTTGTGTTGATGAAATGTGATGTTGTGGTGGTAAGAAAAAAAAATGTAAGAACGGTTGAAGGGTAATGAAACCAGAAACACGAGACCATGAGAGGACAAAAAATCTGGAAAACAACATCCTCTTTTGCTGACAGCTAATCTACTGTTGGCTCGGCACCCAGGATACTGCAGACTCCCGATAGGCAGCCTTTAGGAAAACACAACAGAGAGTGGAGTACGCTGCCTCTGATTGGTGGGGGGGTGTAATCAAAGCACCTTACCCTCTAAAAGTGCTGCTATTTGCAGGTTATTCCTGCAGATCCGCAGCCTGGAGTCAGGTCAGACCCAGCTTCAGGTTCTGTTATGAAACAGGAAACGCTGGCTCATGTCTCTGGGGCCATTTCCTGCAGCATAGAGACACCCTGGAACGTAGAAGTGACCTCTACCTTCCTTCTTGCTCTTCAGCAATGCAGATGCCATTTAGATTCCTTCAACAACACAATGAGTTGATGATCTCTCCCTGAAAATTATACGTGAGCTTGTCTTGTGTCCGGCAAGAAATGTTGGGGCAGAAGTGCTGACATGGCCTTTTAGCTCATCTGCTAAGGGCCCTTGAATAAAGCATATACCAATGATTAATTGACCTGCATTAAGCTGGGTCCACCTGCGTAATTTGATGCTGCTTTCCTAAAACTAACTGTATACTATAAAACAGGAAAAAACAAAAAACAAACAAGTCCTCACATTCAATCGGCCTTTCGTACAGCAGCCGCTCCTTCACAGATATAATAACACGTCTGATGTTTACGTCTGAGCATATGAGCTCTGTCTGGCCAAAGGACCTTGAACAAAGTCAGAGTCATGTGGTATCGATCCACAGGGACGAAGATCTGCTTCATAAACACATCAACCGTCTCTCTAACAAGGATGTCTCCGTTTGGGTCGGACTGTTTATTAGCTGTGCTCAACCTTCAGCAGGCCGGCATCAAAACATACTGTACTTACATTAAATATTTATTGAGCACTGCAGTCCTGTCTTCTTTTCTGATAGAAGGGGAAGCGTCAAGCAGACTTTGTTTGGTCAGGGTTTACTAAAAGAGGAGGCGACAACCCTTTGATGTTCTGATTTAGGGCTGAACAAGATATCACACATTTATCTTTATTCCAATATGGCTCTATTATATGACTGTGTTGCAGAGCTGCAAGCCTTTTAAAAGGTAAACAAATGCTAAGGCGCTCAGATGACTAACAAACTACAAATATGTTCCAGTATTTGGTCATATTGTCATAATGAGTGACTGTAAGAAAACAAACAAAAATAGGTAAACATCCCTCAGTGGGGGGGAGAAAAAAAAAGTCAAATGTGTTAAATCTGAACTGAATCCCTTTGGTACTTGGTTATCCATTAAATGAGTTAAGATAAACAATTGCGTGTTTCTTAAAATTAAAACATTAATTTGTGATTTTAGTTAACTTTATGACCTGTTTAAAAAAGAGGTTCCTTTGCAGAATGAGAATAAGCTTAAAGTAGTTTTACTGCAGCTGACTTTGTCCAGATATTAGACTGCAGACAGTCTCTGATTGGGGGACAAACCTGCAGACCGGCCTTAGGAAGTGGGTCATCGTCATTTTTCTCCCTTTATAGAGTTTTAAGCAGCCAAAATAAGCAGCTGAATGTCAAACACCCTGCAGGCTGGAATTTCAAGGTGACCACTGCGTAGTGAAGGCCTACCTGTGTACAAACATACACTGAGAACGGTGTGTGCACACAAACACAAGCGACGTAAAGCTGCCTTTGGTTGTTTAACAAGTCATTTGAATTATTTAGGAATAAAAAAAAAAAGGATTCAACCACAACCTGCACTAATTAACAATCTCCAGATTTGGTTTTATGACTGCCAATGTTAGAACTAAATGAGTTTTATCATTGTGATACAGTGAGGTCTTAAAAAATGACTAATAAAACAGAGCGAGCAGAGCGGCACAAAGGTCCAGTAAATTTGTTGAACACACAGATGGAGAGACGGGGGGGCTAGCAGACAGCCAGGAGCAGTTTGTGATCCAAACAGCCAACAGAGACCAGTTTCCATGGGGACGGTTGTTACAAGGAAGAAGCACAGATCTCCTGTCAGTGGGACAGGACCGGGTAGCTAACCGATCGTCTCCATCCTCCGGTTTGTTGACGCGGACCTTTTTGGTTCTGTTTGTCCACAAACATGGGTGACTCCTAGCACGATCTGTGCCATTCAGAACCATGGAGGTCTGAACAGCTGGGAGAGACATTTCTTTAAACAATCATCATAATATTTGACTTGGTGCAGTTGGTCTGAGGATGTCACGAGCTGACAGAACTTCCTCTGCTTTTAATCTAACATCCATTCAGACGGATCTGAACCGCTAATAAATACATCCTGAGTATAGGAGCCATTGTGAAAGAATTGTTTGAGGCAATCAGAACATTTCTGAAAGAAAAACCTAAACAGTTTCTCTTCAGATCAGATCCATGAAGTCCCACCACAGTTTTTTTTCTCCCCCCTCTCTTCCTCTCACTTCCCTCTTCCTGTCTGCCTCAGCGCCTCCCATCTGTCTGCAACTTCACACACTGCATATCAGCTCCTGCTAGCAAACTGTGCTGAAAGGTCCGTGAGACGTGAGGGCTGAGGTCTGGAGGACACCGAAGCCTCTGAACGCCGTCCTCCTCATGTCTGAACTTTATAACACTTGAAACATGACACCAACAAAAATATATCCAAGTCATTTTTTAGACAATGGAAGTTGCATCAGACTGTCTTTTGTTAATGAAATCTGGCTACTTCTTTGCTCACAGTGTTGAAACTCGGCAAGCCCCACCTCTAGGAGAGTTTATTCAGTGTTCTTAGTCTGCCTCTGAGTCATCCAACAAAGTAACGAGAAGAAAAAGCACTCGACCTTAGCTCAACTGTTCTAAAGCAGCTGAACGGCCGTAAAAAAAAAAAAGACCTTTAAAGGGCAGTTTGAGGGTCTAAGACGACAGCTGGGGAATTCAACATGTAGTCTCACATGATCAGGCGCTCCAAAGCAGAACTGAGATCTCTTAAGGTCCAGTCTATGCAAGAATTTGTTCAGGTCACAACAAATTAATTAGTAACCACTTAGTAAAGACAAACAAAACTTACCAAACTAGAACCCAAAGCTGTGCAAAACACCTACATCGCTAATACACACATCACTCCATTACATCACCAAACAAATATTTTCAGTTCCTGTAATTTCATGTTAAATGTTTTTTTCAGTATGTTAAAAGCTTGTTGGGGCCTGCAGATAAATCCACAGTAACATGTGTGCCTCTCTAATACCAGCTTCATCCCTTAGTAAAGCAATGAAACTTCTCTGAGGAGCTAAAGTGCCACATCCAAACTGGATGATCGATTTCATTACTATCCATTAAAAATAAGAAATTAGCTGTCAGAGTTGGATCACATGATGAACACAACTAACTTTTAGTAAAAGATGACAAAGCTTGTGTCAAAACTCTCCAACAAACACTCGCTAGCTCAGCCCACTTCAAGATAAAACCCAGACTTCTTCACTGCTTGTAAATCTGTATGATTTGCAAAACGAATAATCTGTTGATATTTTCACAATTAAAAATCAGACAGTAAAAGGTTCTTTAAAGAAAACTAAATCAATTACATTATTTTATTTTTTTTTTACAA